CCCAGAGCCGCGGCTCAAGGTTAAACTCAGAAATGGCATAAAGCGACAAGGGACAGCACGTGGGACTCGATAAACAGAACTAACCAAACCCTGACAAAACAAGTGCAAAATTGGAATTATTTTATTAGCTTTCCCCTGGCATTGATGCCTTCGGACTTTTATCTGGAGCTGCGTGGGAAGAGATCACATTGCAAATACAATTCCCACGGGATGGGACTTTGAAGGCCTGTGATTGAGCTGTCTCTGAGGAAGGACTCAAACACGCCGATTACACAACAGATTGCAGAGAACAATATTGCAACATGATTAGAGAACTGAGAGGAGCACTTGATCTAAAGTAGTACACAAAAGGATGAAATTTTAAATTTGGTAGTAAGCAAAACCTGTTAGGCCTAGCTGGAGACAGAAAGGAGGTTAAAACCAGCCTGTAAGCCGGCCTTCGCTGTTATGCAGCACGATTCTGCACTGGGAAGCTTCTAAAATATATTGTCATGCTGCTTCAAGTTCAAGTCCTTGGCTTAGCTTTCCTATCTTGTAAAAAATAGCTGACATTATTCAAAATGAAAGAGTCCCAAAAGTAACAGCAAAGCTAAATTTTGGTCCGTAGCAGTTGACCTCAGACCACCCCGGGGTTTTGTGCCCCTGGGAGGTGGCTCTGGACTCTGCTCTGCCCTGTGACAAGGCGGGTGCACGTGGCTCTGTGCAGTAATTGCCCCTCGCAGCCAGGAAAAGCGGCTTCCCCATCCTCCTTGCCGGGGACTGGGATCAGGCTGGAGGTGGTGGAAGGTTTCCTGAGCCGGCGCAGCCGCTCGACGCTGCCGGGAATTAATGGGGCTCTTCATTTAGCTCAATTACTGGGCACCCACCTGAGAAGCTGTAAAGAATGGAGCAGTAAATCTCACAATCAAATATTAAATTATACCTAATTTATTTACTTATGGCAAACGGTAAGCCCTGCAATCAAGCGTGCAGAGGTTGGTAACACAAACCCTCCCGGGAACGAGGGGACGTGCCTGCCAGCGCGCCGGGGGGGTCACTGAGGCTCTGTCTGCGGGGGACCAGCGGCCGCAATCCCGGGGTGCCCCCGCCGCAGGGACCGAAGCAGCGCAGCCGCGGGGCGCAGCC